TTTGCTTATTGGTGAACCTTGGTTTATACTCATCAGTCTTCTTAAAAAAACAATCTTTAGCATAATGATTGGTTCTTCCACATACATAGCACAACCTCTGCCACTCCCTTGTCCCTTAAAATTATTAGCATTGGCTTGGAAGTTGTTATTATGGTGTTTGTCATTTTGACCTCTAGATTTAAACTTAAGGTGTTGTTCTTGAAAATTTTACCTTTAGGTCGAAAGTTATTCCTATTGTTGGAACTATTCTTATTCCCATTCTCCACCACATTTATCTTAGGCGTTTTCTCTTTTCCAGTTTCTAGATTTGATCTATGTTTCTCTTCCACCCTAAATATATTGATTAATTGAGTTAATGACAGATCTCCTTGTTTGTGCCTAAGACACTTAGCAAAGTCATTCTAAGATGGAGGTAATTTATCGATAAGGCAAGACACTTTAAAGTCCTCATTAAAAGTTGTCCCTTTCTTCTCTACTTTTCTAAGTAGTTCTTGAAACTCATAAATTTGGTCTCCTACAAGTATGTCATCTTTCATTTTATAACCATTAAAATTAGAGACAATGAACCTATCAATACCAGCATCTACAGTTCCATATTCGGCCTCTAAGGTTTTCCATAGTTCTTTTGCAGTCGAGGTGGTTGACTGATATACATCATATAAATGGTCAAATAACACACTAAGGATTCTATTATAACAATGAAATTCGATTTGTTCAGGTGACAACCAAGATCCAACAAAATCTTGATCTTCTATGGCAAACATAAGACCCAACACGGTCAGCCAATATCTTGTTTGTTTTTGCCATCTTTCAAAATTGTTACCATTAAATTTTTCAGGTTTCACACTAACAGTTTCTTCTAAATTAGCCATAAAAATAAATTAGTTAAGGTACAAGAGAGTAGACAATTATAAAATCTGTGTGATGCAACAATGAAACAATCACAAATGTTAGGAAGAGATAAATTTAGATAAATCTGATTGAAAAATTAATTGCCAACAATTTAGGAAGAGATAAAATGTGACAAAATTTTTTTATACAGATCAAATCTAAACACAATAACTTATAACTTGAACAATGCTAATTAAATATCATGAATCTAAACATCATAATTTATCATGTGAAAATTTTTATTTTACTCTACTACTTTCCTAATAATAATAATAATAATAATAATAAAACTACACAGAATCAGCAAAATCAACAAATTCTACAACTTCTTGAATATATATATACATATATACATAGGTCAATGTGTAAAACACAGTTTATACTACTTCCGAAATTAATTGAATTGAATTAATATTTCATGCAAATCAATGGAATCAAACAAGATGACATGTAGAATACAAACAGTTTTATACTGTATTGTGAACAAAAGAATTGAATTGACTTTATATTGTGTTCAAAAGAATTGAATTGACTTTATACAAACAGTTTTATATTGTATTGTATAATACAAACAGTTTTATATTGTATTGTGATCAAAAGAATCAAACAAGACGTTTACCGAATTGACTTTGGAAAAAAAAAACAGATTTTACCAAAAGATGGGAAACAAAACTTCCGTTGTTTTTTTTTTTTTTTTTTTAATTTTATTAACAGATTTGTTCAAGACCAACAAGTACAATTATGAAACACAAATAATTAAAAGATTAAATATGTTACAGATATAACGACTTTAGATTGTTGTGGAAATTGAATAATATTTATCTTAAATCAATTTTATAGAATAATATTGAAAGCAAAATAAATTCTGAAAAACTAGGTTTTACAATTCAACGAAACTATATATACATATATATAAATGAATAAGTAAAAGATGAAAGGGTTCAAAAAATAGCCTGTGTGATTGTGAGAGACACGTCAAAGACGGTGTCCTAAAGTCATTATGCGCTCCCTCCGTGCAGGTTCTAACGATCACAAACGACTCCAAGATACAACCCTCCAAGATACAACCCAAAAACTTTACAGGATCTGATACAATGCACAGTTGCACCAGAAGAATTTGCCAAGAATGTATCAATTGCCCAGAAATATGAAATATAAAATACTGTAAAGAGAAGAAGGGGAGAGAGATTGAGATCAGAGTACGTTGTATATCTTTTCTCAATAATAGAGTCATGTATAAAAAGGATCTATGGTGTCTGTTAGAAACAGACACACCTATTCCTTTTGAAACCAAATACATATTTAAAATTCAAATAAATGAGACTGTAAAAGGAAATAAGTAAATAATAAAATATAATAATAAATACAAATAATTAAAGTTTTGAAGCTTTTAGGAAATCTCCAACAAAAACAAACATTTATTGTATCAAAATCCATGCTTTTTCAATGGATTACATATTGGAACCCATCACAAAACATTTTGCGTGGCACATGATGCGCCCACTTATACAAAGGTTTAGAATCATATTTCAAAATAGAACATCCATTCATGCATATCAAATAACCTTTCGTAAACATGAGTCATATAACGATGTGAAAACATTCATATTCATATCATATTTCTTGAATGACCTCGGGTCCACGTATAACAAAACGGCCTCGAGCCCAATCATATATCAAACGACCTTAGGTCGAAACATATCATATCGTATCATTGTATCTTGTCATGGAGTAGATGGAACATCGACATGTCTCCACCTCTCCTTGGGCCCAATTCATGTATGTATGGACCCAAGAGGTGTCTCGTACAGATTCTAGAGGTGACTCTCACTGTAGCACTTAGTTCCGTACAGCACTTTGTTCCATACCAAAGTCAATAGGTCTTAAAGACCGAACAATTTATATCATGCCATAGCATAAGCGGAACGAATAAACAGAACGGCCTTGGGTCCACCATATCATATTACAAACAATTCACATTTCTTGTTCATAACTAATTTCACATTTCTTGAAAACTTGTGCATTTTGATAAAATGCAATATTTAGAGAATCATGTCATACATAAATAAAAATAGATAATGAAAAACATATCTTTACTATACTATTACTCACAGTGATGGGCTCCTGGTAGCAGTTGGACGATGTCCTCCTCTTGACCTTAGTTCAATCTTTGCTTTTCCCTTAACTCTTTTCAATTTTCTCAAGCTTTCATGGTTGATCTTCTTCCTTTCACTTAAATCTCTTCAATTTGTCTTCAAATCCCATGAATGTTGAGCTCTCTCTCTTAGAGAAGCTTTCTCTCACTTTTGCACTCTCTCTCTCTCTCTCTTTTTCTCTTTCTCTCTCGGCTCTCTCCCTCTTCCTCAGATATTTTTGAGCTCAAAAGTGATGATTTCAACTCATATATCATATATATATATATATATATACATAAGCTTATCACAATTAGGGAGAGCCAAACGCATCCTTATGAATCAAACGAAATCGAATTTCAATTAAACTTCCTAGATGACTCTAAAAATTATGCTGATCATAACTATGTACTCCGTTCTAGTTTCTGAAGCCTCTAAGGCCTTCAATTTGCAGTGCAAAGTTAACCACCCAAACATACCTTAACGAATCAAACGAAATAAATTTCCAATTAACCTTCCCAAATGGCTCTAAAAATTTCCATTATCATATCCATGTAATCAATTTTGATTTCTGAATCTATAAAGGTCGGCAATTTCAGTTTCAAGGTCGAAACCCAACAAATAATTCCTCAATTCAAACAGATATAATTAAATTAAAGCACATTAACTCATAATTAAATAAAGATAATTTTTTATACGCATTTTGGGGTTGTTATACTGAAAATCCAAAAAAAATCTGTTCCCTTCCCATTTTTGCTCTGTTTTACATTATTCTTCATTTTAGTCATTTAGAGAAAATTCAAAGATTATAGAACGCAGGTTCTAGTTCACCATACAGATTGTTTGGAGTGCTACTACAATCTATGTAGATCATTGTATCCTGGGAGATAGACACCATTTATCTGTAAGTATCGAAACGGGACGAATCTGTCTTCAAGACAGAATGTCACACACTCGACTTGATTGTTTTTATTATTATTCATTTCGGTAAATAAATTCTACAACTAATTTATTTTTGTTTGTCTGATTTAGTCTCACATTATTTTTTACACAGAAGATTGTTCCAATATGTAGAACGCAACCTGCGTAGTTGCACAATTGGTGTGCAACCGAGCAAGTGGTTTGTTTAGCTCAGTTGCCTACCTAGGACGTCATTTCGCTTAGCATTAGGTCATTTTGCTTGGCATTGGTGATAAAGGTGTTAAAGGATAAGTTTTATCCTTTAGAAACATGACTCCTAGAAGGATTTTAGGAAGAGGAATTGAAATCCTAATAGGAGTCTACTATACGGAATATATAAAAGCTCAGTACTGAACCTATGAAGGGTAATGCAACTTTACCCACTGAATTTCTAGAGAACTTTTCCCTAGATTGATTTTGAGAGCTAACTTAAGGATCAAAGGAGTTCTTCCGCACACACTTGCCGATTAGCTCACTTGAATTGTTTTGGAGGCTACACGATGCCATTCGAGGAGATACAAGCTTGATCATGAAGAAAACGCGTGTGACAAATATTTCGTACCCATACAAGTATGATTGTAATTTATTAGATTTCATTGCAATATCTTATATGAATCAAAAAAGAGAGAGTATATTCTTACATACCAGTTTAATTCAATTGGCCATATTGGAAGTGTATGCATTACATCACAAAAATGTTTTTGAAAATGGAAGTTGATTAGGTCTCTTCTGAACAAGCAATCAATTCTCGTAAGATGAAATCGATTGCGTGTTCATGTCTATTGATGCAGTGCTTTTTATCAATTCCCTGTTCAATGTAAATTGGAGTGATCAACTAGAAATCCACAAGAGATTAAACACTGCAAAGGAGCCATTAAGTCATAAATGGGAATTGTTTAATCCTTTCATAAATTGGTTTGTTCAAGATTTTTTTTAATCATATAATTGGTAGAAAACAAATATTAAGGTACACATTGACACATCTGATCATATCATATAAGAGAAAAATTAGAGCAAATCAAACCCATTCATTTCAATCATCATTCTTCTACAAACAAAATCGATCTATACACACTCCTATTACTTACCAACAACCAAAAAGAAAACAAGAAAGCAAAAAAGATCATCTTGGACAATACAAGCTGCCCAAATTATTGACTTGTGAAAGTGACCAAAACATAGACTAATTTTAATTGGAAGATTATTGAGCTTGAGCTTGAGCTTTAGCTTTAGCTTTGGCTTGCAACATTTTGGCTATCTCCAAAAGCTTCTCTGTTTCAGGGAAGGCACCTTTCACAGCCTCATGTGAGCAAAACCTCTCAGCCCATCCCACCAGACCCGGTGTCTTAGTTCCATCAAGAAACTCCAACTCCTCCATCTTCTCCACCACCTTCAGCCACCCCAAGAAGCTTCCAAAGGCTATGTCAAGGTATCCGATGCTATCTCCACCGAAGTAATCCTTTCCTTTGCTACACTTGGCAAAAGCATCCTCCAATAGCATTAACCCTTCCCTCAGCCACCCCAACGCCACCACTTTTGCCTCCTCTCCCTCCGCTGTACGCAACTCCCACAACATCGGAAACCACTGAAAAAAATTTAAATTACATAACAATGGTTACATTACTAAAATTGCCATTATTTTCTATGGTACATAAATTATTAATGATAAGTTGAATTGTGATGAACAATTAAAAAGTCAAATAAATTCAAATTTTATGAAACAATTAATCCCTTAAGACTACTTGAAAAAAATTGTGTCCACCGTATAAATTTGAGTTAGGGTCTGTTTGGTAACATTTACGTTTTCAGTTTATATTTAGAAAAATTTTATAAACTGATTTTTGTTTATTTTTAGAAAAACATACACTACAAACGCGTTTTGTAGTTGACAAAATGTTTAAAAAATTTTAAAAATATAAAAAAGAGTGAGAAATGGCAAATGGTGGCAAGTGGCGGCGGAAGACGGTGGTGAAAAGTGGTAACGGTAGGTGGTGGGTGGGTGGATGGGTGACGGTGGCGGGTGGTGGGTGGTAGAGAGTGGGTGGTGGTAGTGGTGGTGACGGGGGGTGGGGGGTGGCAGGTGGGTGGTGGTGGGGGGTGGTGGTGGTGGTGGCGGGTGGTAGATGGTAGTGACGTTGGCGGGCGGTGGACGGTAGTGGCAGATGGTGGCGGGGGGGGGGAAGGGGGGGGGTGGTGGGGGCGGAAGACGGTGGTGGAAAATGGTGGCGGGTGATGGCTAGTGTTGGGTGGAAAAAAAAAAAAAACTGAAAACT